AAAAAAACCAAATTCATATTCATATTCATATTCATATTGTCTATTAAAATTTATTCTACATATAAATTAATCGATGAATTTTTGTCAATAGGCTTTATTCATTAAAATAAAATGAATTTTTGTATTATAATTATTTATTATTATTTTATTTAATTATTTTGTATTTATTTTAATAATATATATATATATATATATATATATAATTTAAACGATCTTTGCGATTAAAATAGCTAATAATTTTTGTTGTTGTCTTTCTTCGAGATCTTATTTATATTATATACATATTGTATAAATACAGGAGATAGATTGAAAGATAAAATTCATTAGTATGGTGTCGTTGATTTAATCATGTATAGTCAAGCTAACTACGTGTCGATGATCTTCTTGACCGCTAAATACATATATATAAGAGAGAGAGATCATTAGAATTCCATACAGGATTAAAAAGGATCAGCATGTAACCTAAGAGAAATAGAAGGAAGAAGAAGAAGAAGAAGAAGAAGAAAAAGAGAAAAATAAAATGAAAAATATATACACTATCCTTATCGTTTATATATATATTATACTTTGGTCAGTTAATGACTTCCTTCGACCAAACGGGAATTTTAACGCCCAAGAGAACTTGGGATTATCGATTTAATAAAGTGTTACCATTTAAAAGACGTTCATAAACTTTTCCACGTGAAACTCTATTAATTTGTGAAAAAAAGAAAATATAAGAAGAAAAAAAATAGAAAAAGATCTTCAAGGACTAGCAATCTTTCCTATATATATAATATAATATAAATATAATTTTTATTAAAAAAAAATAAATATTAATATATATATATTTATTATTATAAAGTTAATTAATCATTATTAAAATTAAATAATATAATATATTTAAAAAATCATCTAATTAAATATGTACATATATACCAAGAGATGATATATAATATCGAATAAAAAGATTTCATTTAAAGAATGATTTAATATAACATATATATATATATATATTATTTTTTTCTATATGTAATCAGTAAAATTGCCGATATGCACAATCTGCAAAAAAACATTAGGAGTAACTAAATATACACATGAGTTCACGGAGCGATAGCGTCAAGAGATAAGTCTATTGCACCGTTAATGTCTCTTCGATGATCGAATTACGAACAAAAATTCATATATTTACTTAAATTATTATTTATAGAAATTTAGATAAGAGAGATAAAATTGGATTTTTTCTTCTTTTTCTTTTTTTTCTTTTTTTTCTTTTTTTTTTTTTTTGTATTTTATTTTATTTTATTTTAGTTTATTTTTTTTCTTCTTCTTCTTTTTACTTATTCAATTTATTTTCGATAACTTTGAAATATAATTCGAGAATGAATAATAAAACGATTGGAAATTTCTAGTAACTATTTCTGGTAATTATTGGAATATTTTGTTGTCTCTTCATGTTATGGTTTCATAGGATTCGAACAGTATGAATAAGCCGGTTCAATTTGCAACGTTCAAACCGGATATATCAGTTCATGCGTGACCAAGAACAACGTGGTCAATTCGATATTGAACGAAGAATATTTTGTTAAACGATTGTATTTTATTATTTATCATTATTATTTTCAATACTTTGGTTGAAATTAAACAAACGTCGTTATATTATCGTTAGTTTTTAACGAGACGACTATCGAAATAAATAAAAAGTAGTAGAATTTAATCAAAAGTTCTTTTTCTTTTTTTGTTTTTGTTTTTTTTTTTTTTTTTTAATACGTACCACCACACATGGACAAATTATATAAATGAAACTGACTGTCTATTATGTGAAACACCTTTCACACATAGAAAAGTGTTAGGTGAATATTTGTTAGCTAAAGGTGCACGCAATTCTCGTGTTCGCGGGGTCAATCGCAGGAAAAGTAGAACATGCCTTTGATAAAAACTTTTTTG